GTAAACAGTTTCATTCCCTCAGCTTTTCAAAGTAGATTGAAAATTGCTCAATGTGGAATTTTTTTATTGAATTTTAATAAAAAACTTATATTTAATAAAAAATACTTTTATTTTTTTCTCTGACGCTACTCTGTAGTGACGTCGAGTACTAGTCGCGTGATTGGTCGGTAGCGCAGTGACGCGGATCTCGCCGTCCCGTTCGCGCTGCCGTTGAAACTTATATTGCTGTTTCGTTCGTTCGATAGTATCTTTACAAACAGGTGGATGTGTGAGTGTTGCATATGTAGTAAAATGGGATCAGTTTTTGTTTGATGCAAGTAAGAGCGTACCGTATCTACCCTTTTTGTTTTAATCTAAGATTAGGGTACGGCCAGAGTGTTGTTTATTTCTCGCGCTTGTTTTCAGAATCTGAATCTGAATCTGAGTGCACTCTGGAAGGGTACGGCCAGAGTGCACTCAGATTCAGATTCTGAAAACAAGCGCGAGGAATAAACAGTGTAGTAGACTACAGGTTGCCTGCTTTTTCTCGCGTTTGTTTTCTGAGTCTGAATCTGAATCAGGAGTGCACTCTGGCCGTACCCTTCGACTACATTGTTTATTTCTCGCGCTTGTTTTCGGAATCTGAATCTGAATCTGAGTGCACTCTGGCCGTACCCTTACGCGTAGATAAATGATTGGTCTCGCTTCACTCGACGAAGCGTGTGAAGCGAGACCAATCATTCATCAATGGTATTATAAATGCGATTCAAATAAGAATAGGAAAGCCAATGACCTCCAACTGTCAAATGCCGCTTGAAAAGTACGGTTTGCAATAAAAAACTTGGAACCCTTTTTTAGCACCCAGCTAATTCTAGAGTAAAAAGCACACATTTGTAAACAAACAATAACAAATATAGATAATTAATATTGGTTGATATTTTTTTTCATTTATTGAGCTTTGGCTATGAATGGTTGATAACCTAAACCGTCAACCAAATGTCACTTTAAGTTGCGTTCAGAAACTCAATTTAAAACTTTCGTTCACTTAAAGGATGCATGTTCGTATGTGACCTAGCAATAGTGCATGATTATTCATAACTACTTCGGCGGTAATGCAGAGATGAGCGGAATCGAAGAGCTAGATTCTGATTTATGTTTTTTCTCACACAGTTTTAATAAATAAATATTATTAAGAATTAGTTGTTTTTTTTTCTCAATCTTAGTAAATATTTTAATAACAAAATCTGGCGTTTTTCTCACTTAATCTTAGTTAGAAGTTTTATTAACTGAGTCCCACAAACAGTTGTGGTCCAATTATTGGCATCATGTTGCTTCAGAGAAAGGGAAATGGTACCACGACATACAGAAGACATTGCCCGCCCGTCCGTGGTATCATCCTAAGCAACTTAGAGGAAATTTAAACCGCAACTTTATTACCACCACCTGCCCCATGAGATTTGGTCACTGTAAAATTCCTGCTCATCTACACAAGATCCAAATTGCCAGAGATTCCAAATGCATATTCTGCGAAGAGGAAGGAGCAGACTTGAATCATCTGATTCTGAAATGCCGTCATCAAGATTTTAAATTAAACAGACTTTTACTGGTCAGTGAACTAAGTGACCCGCTTGTTAAATATTTAAATAATTCAAATATAACGTCATAAAATTTATCAACACAGAAGAATGGGGAACACTTAGAACGAAGAAAGGAAAACCTTCCTGGTCCGGCAGAAAAGGGCTATAACCCAGTGCCGTAAAACCAAAATAGAAATAAAAAAAAAAATTTTTGAGAGTTGGTAACACTAGGGATGTCGAAAGTTGAAAAAAATATCGATATATCGATACATCGATATTTTAAAAAATATCAATATCGGCTTCGATATGTCGCGAAAAAAACATCGATATATCGGACCAATTTTCCCAAAAATATATTTAGATCAGCCTAGCACAGTAATAATAACAATACAAATTATAATTAAAGAAAGAATTATCAAAGTACCAAATTGCCGCTACACTTCATGATAGTACAGTATCTCACGAAAGATGACACGCGGAATAATAATGGAACGAAAATTATCTACCTAAAATAGACCCTATTTTCGAATGATGAAAATAATTGCAGGACCTCTCAGGTGCCATCTTTCGTAAACAAGACTAGACAGTCCCACACTTCCACAGAATATAATGGAATTCAGCACCAATTCACCAGCGAAACATATTTACAAATCATAGGGTACGACCAGAGTGCCCTCAGATTCAGATTCAGATTCCGAAAACAAGTGCGAGAAATAAACAGTGTAGTCGAAGGGTACGGCCAGAGTGCACTCCTGATTCAGATTCAGATTCATCCTCAGAAAACAAGCGCGAGAAAAAGCAGGCAACCTGCTTAGACTACACTGTTTATTTCTCGCGCTTGTTTTCGGAATCTGAATCTGAATCTGAGTGCACTCTGGCCGTAGGGTGCGGCCAGAGTGCACTCAGATTCAGATTTAAACCGCAACTTTATTACCACCACCTGCCCCATGAGATTTGGTCACTGTAAAATTCCTGCTCATCTACACAAGATCCAAATTGCCAGAGATTCCAAATGCATATTCTGCGAAGAGGAAGGAGCAGACTTGAATCATCTGATTCTGAAATGCCGTCATCAAGATTTTAAATTAAACAGACTTTTACTGGTCAGTGAACTAAGTGACCCGCTTGTTAAATATTTAAATAATTCAAATATAACATCATAAATTTTATCAACACAGAAGAATGGGGAAAACTTAGAACGAAGAAAGGAAAACCTTCCTGGTCCGGCAGAAAAGGGCTATAACCCAGTGCCGTAAAACCAAAATAGAAATAAAAAAAAAAATGAGAGTTGGTAACACTAGGGATGTCGAAAGTTGAAAAAAATATCGATATATCGATACATCGATATTTTAAAAAATATCAATATCGGCTTCGATATATCGCGAAAAAAACATCGATATATCGGACCAATTTTCCCAAAAATATATTTAGATCAGCCTAGCACAGTAATAATAACAATACAAATTATAATTAAAGAAAGAATTATCAAAGTACCAAATTGCCGCTACACTTCATGATCGTACAGTATCTCACGAAAGATGACACGCGGAATAATAATGGAACGAAAATTATCTACCTAAAATAGACCCTATTTTCGAATGATGAAAATAATTGCAGGACCTCTCAGGTGCCATCTTTCGTAAACAAGACTAGACAGTCCCACACTTCCACAGAATATAATGGAATTCAGCACCAATTCACCAGCGAAACATATTTACAAATCATAGGGTACGGCCAGAGTGCCCTCAGATTCAGATTCAGATTCCGAAAACAAGCGCGAGAAATAAACAGTGTAGTCGAAGGGTACGGCCAGAGTGCTCTCCTGATTCAGATTCAGATTCATCCTCAGAAAACAAGCGCGAGAAAAAGCAGGCAACCTGCTTAGACTACACTGTTTATTTCTCGCGCTTGTTTTCGGAATCTGAATCTGAATCTGAGTGCACTCTGGCCGTACCCTTCCGTAATCCAATCTATTGATGCTTACATAACAATTTAACAGATGAGTGATTAGGCTTAGGCTTGATATCTAGTTCATGCAATGAGTCTGAACGAAGATCATCATAACAAGATAATCTGCTGTCATCAATATCAACATTTACATTTTCATCTTCTAAATCACTATCACTTAAAGTGCCACCAAATATGTCTTCTACCTTGGATGCAGATTTATGACTTATATTTAATTCTGACTTGGTGCTGATATGTTCTTTCTTTGCTTTTAATTTTTCAGGTTTCAAGGGTAATTGAATTTCAGGTTTGTCACCATTTTCATCCTCTTCGTTAATCACTTCCCAAGTAAAACTAACCGCTTCATTATCTGCCCTTAAAAGTCTCTTTACTTCTTTTTCAATTTCGGGAGCTTCTACATTTTTTTTCTTCAATGTTTTTCTAAAACGTCTTTTTCTGATATTTTTTGTAGGCGGTGTAATACCATGTGGCCAAAGAAATTTTTTATCTACCTTAAAAGGATCTTTTTTCTTACTTTTTGTAGGGGATTCTTCTTCAGTTGACGATGGATCAATTTCATCTTTGCAAATCATTATCTGGCAGATATCTGCCGTTTTATAAACACTTTTTCGATCTATTGTTTTGTGAGACTCCACAATCGTGGGCAAGTCTACTATTTTGGCATGTAACAACCAATGATCAAAGCGTATTTCTCCGTTACGCATATCATTTTCCATTTGTATAGTGAGTCTGTTTTTTAGAGTTTCTCCAGTACTCAAAACATCCCTTAGGGTTTTTGCTGGTTCTTCAGGCCACCTCATAATAAACTGAGATTCTAATTCAACAGGATAATCAGGCTCCTTTCTTTCTTTATTCATTATTGTTAATTTTTTAACACTTTTCTTGTAGTAAATAAGAAATAAGTAGTATGTTATAAAATTGGAATCTGTGCAGCGCAACTTTTTACGCCGCCGAGAGAGACAGTGTTACCTAGGCTTGTTGAAAATATATCGATGTATCGATATATCGATATTTTTTGATTGATATATCGACATTTTAACCGATATATTTTGATTGATATATCGATACATCGATACAAAATAACCAATATCGAAATTCGTATCAAAAACGATATTTTTTTAATTATTAACGGCATATCACGATCCAACTAAATTCGTATCTGGAAAAATCGTAACTGGATCTCAGATTAATGATATTCAACATATCTATGATCTGTGCTGTATTTAGTACTGTCTATGGGTACGGATACGGGTACGGCCAAAGTGCACTCCTGATTCAGATTCAGACTCAGAAAACAAAGCGCGAGAAATACACAGTGTAGTCTGAGCAGGTTGCCTGCTTTTTCTCGCGATATTTACGATATTGGTTATTTTGTATCGATGTATCGATATATCAATCAAAATATATCGGTTAAAATGTCGATATATCAATCAAAAAATATCGATATATTTTCAACAAGCCTAGGTAACACAGTCTCTCTCGGCGGCGTAAAAAGTTGCGCTGCACAGATTCCAATTTTATAACATACTACTTATTTCTTATTTACTACAAGAAAAGTGTTAAAAAATTAACAATAATGAATAAAGAAAGAAAGGAGCCTGATTATCCTGTTGAATTAGAATCTCAGTTTATTATGAGGTGGCCTGAAGAACCAGCAAAAACCCTAAGGGATGTTTTGAGTACTGGAGAAACTCTAAAAAACAGACTCACTATACAAATGGAAAATGATATGCGTAACGGAGAAATACGCTTTGATCATTGGTTGTTACATGCCAAAATAGTAGACTTGCCCACGATTGTGGAGTCTCACAAAACAATAGATCGAAAAAGTGTTTATAAAACGGCAGATATCTGCCAGATAATGATTTGCAAAGATGAAATTGATCCATCGTCAACTGAAGAAGAATCCCCTACAAAAAGTAAGAAAAAAGATCCTTTTAAGGTAGATAAAAAATTTCTTTGGCCACATGGTATTACACCGCCTACAAAAAATATCAGAAAAAGACGTTTTAGAAAAACATTGAAGAAAAAAAATGTAGAAGCTCCCGAAATTGAAAAAGAAGTAAAGAGACTTTTAAGGGCAGATAATGAAGCGGTTAGTTTTACTTGGGAAGTGATTAACGAAGAGGATGAAAATGGTGACAAACCTGAAATTCAATTACCCTTGAAACCTGAAAAATTAAAAGCAAAGAAAGAACATATCAGCACCAAGTCAGAATTAAATATAAGTCATAAATCTGCATCCAAGGTAGAAGACATATTTGGTGGCACTTTAAGTGATAGTGATTTAGAAGATGAAAATGTAAATGTTGATATTGATGACAGCAGATTATCTTGTTATGATGATCCTCGTTCAGACTCATTGCATGAACTAGATATCAAAAGTACCAGAACTGCTACTCAATTTAGCTCTGAGATGTTTTACTCTACTGATGAACTACAGGGTACATCTGGTACTACAAATCTAATGGTGATGAAAAATAGAGAACACTACTCCATTGATGAGTTTTTAGGAGGTACAGAGCATAAATCCAATGCTAAATTGCAACAGCTCACTACTGAATTGGAAGAATTAAAACAACGACGTCAAAGAACACAGTTTGAAATTTCTGGTATGGAAAATATGACTTTAAGACAGAGATTTCAAGATATTCTTCAAAATTTAAATAAAGATATAACAAGCAAACAATTGGAGTACCAAAAACTACTTTCTCTTAATAAGTAACTGCATAGTGAAAGCTTAATCACTCATCTGTTAAATTGTTATGTAAGCATCAATAGATTGGATAAAATTGTTTTCTAGACAGATATTGTCCATATGTATGTCGGCTTGTATAAGGATAAATATATACATATAGATAAATAATTATATATTTTATTAATTAGTACTGAGCCTGTAATATTCCCTATATCTACATAAATCCATTGATGGATCTTTTTGCACTGTTATGCCCACTTTAATCCTTGATCCAGGATATTTTAGAACTAAGGTTTGTGTGAAAATCCACTACAGAATGGGTAAACACAACCTCAACCTCTTAGTCATGTATGGTTTCCTGGTACATTATTCAAAATAGTGATTTATATATTGAATACTATAGTAGTTGTGAACAAACCATGAGCATATACTCCTCATTCCTCAATGATAATTATTCTAACTGAACTATCTATCAACTTGTACCTACTATATTATATAATACTAGCTGATCCAGCAAACTTCGTACCAAAAAAGATAATATAAATATAATAAAAATTATAATAAAAATAGGGGCTGGTGGTAGAAGGGTGAAATTTTAGGGTTGTATGTATTTTTTAATGCCACGTTATAACAAATTAAATTTGTCCAACAAATATTGAGGGTGGACAACCCTTTTCATTTAGGGGTATGAAAAATAGATAGTAGCCAATTCTCAGACCTACTGAATATGCATATAAAATTTCATAAAAATCGGTCATGCCGTTTCGGAGGAGTATGGTAAATAACCTTGTGACATGAGAATTTTATATATAAGATATCTAATCTGTTTAATTTGGCCAAGGGAACATACAGTGCGGTTATAAATGTCCACTGTCCCTCAAGGCAAAAAGATACACAGAAAAATAGGTGGTCCTTAAAAGATCTGGTTGTTTTGTGATCAGGTTGTGGCGGCTTGTATTATGTGTTTTAACCCATTTAAGGCCAAATGAGTAATTGTAAAAAAGAAAATCCTTTATTTATTTAATATTAGGAATACAAACAAACATATAAAGAAGAAAAAAATAATTTAAATGACATTTTTCAGAAATTACAGGCGTGTGCCCAAATTGGCACAGTGGCCACTTATGAACGAAAGTTGGTAAAACAAGTTTTTGTATGCAGAGTGTTTTCTTGTACTTTTTACAATCCCAGCGGCTTCTATTATGGTAGATAATACTGCGCATCCGTTTTGAAAGCTTTTCACGAAGATGTTCGGCATCATCTAGTTGTAAACCTTCGATGTTTGATGAAGAAGGGCGAGCAGTTACTGTTTGTGTAGCTTGCTTTAGGTAAAACCTTACGATTTCGTTTTGTTGAAATAGCAACTGGTCCATGGCGTTATTTGCTCTTGAAAGAACATGCAAGCTAAATTTTGTAATAAGCATGTCATTTTGTAATGAGCATGAAAGCTTTTGATCTTTGAACATTTTATCAGTGGTGTTCATAGCGTCATTATTGACCACCAGGTGCAGTTTTCTTTTTATTGTCTGAATCTGTTTAGAGACAGCCTTGGATACTACCTCAACTCCAATATCTTCATCAAGTGACCAATACAAACTTCTTCGCGGCAGTTTGTGGTAACCAGAAAATATCAATATTTCAAAAACCTTCAGCTCAGCTACAGTGATGGAAAAACTGTGACTGTTGTTGTGGCTCGCTTACAGCTGACTGATGGTGGACTTCCACAATCATAGTAAACACCACATCGTCAAAAAACTTTTCAAATATTTTAACGGTTGTCAATGCTTCTTTCATACGATCGTCATTACCCAAACGGTGATCGGATTCTGTGTAACTCTTAGAATAATTTGGAGTACATCAGTCGTTAACAACACTTGACTCCAGTGGAATTATGGCCGAGTCACAGGGGGGGCACGCTTAGAAGAATAGATAATTTACGCTATAGCTGCGCCACCTATCAGCGTGTACGCAAAATATTTCCTAAAAATAATACTAAAAAACTCAATAGATGGCAGGACACGACAGAGACCTTAAAAAAAACAAATAATAATAAAAATTTAAATGCTTCTAAAGATATTAAGAAGATAATATTTTATGTATGTTTTATGAAATGATATTATTGAAAGAAGATATTTTTTATATATTTTGTTTAATTTCACCAACTTTTTGACATGAAACGGAACGTTATGTCACAAAGCAAAGTAGTGAAGTCGCACGTCACAACATGGCGGTTTTGTTTCGTTTTGCGTGCGCTTGCGACTCTTCCGTGTTTTGTGGTTTCTATACGGTTTTAACTGTATTGAAATTGTATTATTGCCAGGTTATGTTGAGTTGAGTGCCAAAACTCCTCCGTAGCCTTGGATATTTTGTGAATTTGCGATCAGGACGCTGTTTGTGTAGTGCGATTTGGACGCTTTTGTGATTGTGTTTTGGATCTGTTTTTGAAAAATATGCCTCCTCGCTGTTTTTTGGGATGCTCGAGTGGTGAGCTACTAGTTACTTCACTATTCTAACTTACATTTTACATAAATAAAATTCAAATTGTAAATTTTAGGGTCAGAGAATTCTCATGGTATTAAGTTGAGCGCCTGCCCATAATGACTATAATCCAGTGCATGCGCTTTAATATTGTCACCTCAGAGGATTGATATCTCTAAAGAACCTTTTAGCGGGACTAAAATATCCTACATATTAACCTAGGAGCAGTTCATAGTAAACAAACAAACATCCATATTTCCACATTAGTGTCTTCATTGTTAATATTGATAGGATAAAACAGGGACTGGTAGGAAATAAGAATATACTTTTTTTCCAGATCCAGGGGTACACTTACATGTATTTCCTCACCCTGAGCGTTTCCCGGACCAATTTAAAAAATGGGTGGAAATTGTTTGTGGACAATTAAACACACCTGAAGATTATGCATTTTTCCGAAAAAAACGTTTGTGTGATAGACACTTCACAGCCAAAGACAGGAACAGGAATAACAGGCTGAATGCTCTGGCCGTTCCTTCATTATTTATAAAAGGTAGGTGGGTTTAATATTATTAAGTTAAAGTAGCACAGATGTTTGTGATTTTATAAATTTTTGTCAATCTCTCAAATCCAAAAAGCCACAATAGAATATCTAGTATCTAAAGATTTTTTTTATTCTACTATCTCTTCTATTTTCACTTCTTTCTAGTAAAATTTCTTTAGATTTAAACATCTAGCAGTTAAATGCTTAAGAAATAAAAATATAATAATCTAGTTTATGGATAATTGAAGTATTAAAATATGTTTCATAAGATATACATACATAATAAATGGTGTATTTTGAGTTTTTTCAATTACTTGGCTGAATAACATTAAACTGATTAAAACTCAGTAAAACCTATACTGGACCCATCACTAGTTAAAATATTCATTGTTTTCAAAATTATTCTTGTTTTATATTCAATTACAGTTGTTTCTACAAACTGTTCGGCAACAATGTCTGAAACACAAACAAACACTTTGGTAGATGAACCCCTTCTTCAAACAATATCTTTGGCTGAGTCAAGAGGTATGTATTAATTAGTAATTTAATGAGGTAGTATAGTTTCTATTCATCATAAGTAGTTAGTTAATATTCTTGCATCCAACAATGATTAATTATCATTATCCTATAATGTCTTACTGCTGGGCACAAGCATTCCCTTTTGACACATGGGGAAAATGGCCATTTTCACTCGCGCTGATTGGTGGATGCCAACATCTGTTAAGAGTGACATAACTAATGACCACATGCTTTCTGAGGCACAGAGAAACTAGATATAATATGACTGCCGTTCTAATGAGTAACCTTTTTGAAGAAATTAACATCAATTCAGTTTAAAATAATGGTATTATTATGTGATTTACAGATGAACATGGTGATAACACAATGGTTAATGAAACACCTGTAAATGAGGGAATGGATATAGATACTCCTCTTCTACAAACCATGTCTTTGTTAGGATCTTTGAGAGGTAAGAAACAATATTTAATTTTTTTTATCAACAATTGACTCGCCCTTTGTTTTACTTCAGTGTAAACTATAGTTCTTGGTCTTGTATTAATATAAATATAAACTCCGTGAAAAAGTATCCTAACTGATGGTGAAAATTGCATGAAAGTCCATAACATGTACAGAGAGACAAAGCATCATAGTTTACATTAAGATTTTTTTTACTGTCACTTGTCTTGTTTATCAGCCTCTCTCACACCATATTTGTACAGTAAATTGTTGTCAAACATAGTAATTTAAAGTGTAGCAACAATATTATGTAATGAGGAGAAAAAAATAAGACTTCTTCTTCCCCTTAGTGCAAAGCCTCGTAGCTTCATAGTAACAGCATAGCTATAGACTGAAATTAGGCATGTGTTAAATTCAGCAACAAAGTGATCTGTTGTCAAAATCTTTAATTGCTGAAAAGTTATTTTATTAGTTGAAAATAAAAATTTTAATGGCTATGTAAGTCGCCTGGAAAATAGGGAACCCTAATTTTTTTATACCCTTTTGCATTACATAAGCGTTACTTTAAAGATACTATTTGAAGTGACTGTTTATAGTTCAATGAAATTTTGTATAAACGATATGAAATATTAATTAATTTATATATGTAGTTACAGGTGATCCTACTGATAACTTGACACCAACAAACAAAGCTCCTGAAACTAGGTCTGTCATCGATGTGATGACACTTCCTCTGCAGACAACTCACTTTGTATCTTTATGTGGTGAGTAACTATAACTAATAATTCAAAAATATTGATTTTGAAAAACCATATATATGCTAATTTTGTATATACTATACTAAATATTAAATTTATGTAATAATGTATAATTATAAAAGTTAGTCAGGCTATATGTAAGAATAAAAAAGATTTAATATGATAAAGATGAAATATACTATATTCAGAAAATAAAAATACTACTATATTTCATTAATATTTGGTTTTCATTACTATGGTCAATATGAGAATAAGACTATTGTTCTCATACTTATGAATTTGTTACCTACTTATAAAGAGTTTGTTATAAAGATTTAAATTATGATTTACAGATGAACCTGTTCCCCAGTTAGTAAGTACAGCCCAAGGAAGTGACAGTCAGACAGTAGCTGAAATTACTGAAGATATTCTCCCTGTTCAAAGAACATTTGATAAGTCCTTGAGAGGTAAGATTTAACTGAGACATTCAAAACAATTCAAATCTAAACATATTAAATAAAATGAATTTGTTTACATTTTTAATTTAATATTAAGTATCTTAACATACATAACCTCACTTCCACTAAAATTTTCTGTATCATAATCTGTTAATGTGAAAAGAATGTTTAGAAATCAATGCTAAAAAAATATTCAAAAAAATGAATCATAAACATTGCGTCATAATAGTTATGATGATGAATGATTGTAATGGTGGATCCACACCATGTTTTTGGTATAAAATCAAGCATTGCTTTTTGTTTTAGGTTTAAACACATCAATATTTATGGAGCATAATTACAGCAAAATTTCTCATACTAAAAAAAATAATGTGGCTTGCCTCGGTAAGATAATTAAACTATATACCAACTGCTTTTTACATATTATTCTTACCATTTTTGTGAAAACATTTTTATAAGAACAATTTGTTTTTTTTCAGACGTATTCAACAGAAAACCAGTTTTAATACTGAGCAAGTATAAAAATGAGACAAGGATAATTAAGAATTTACAACGGCAAATAAAAATGCTACGCATGAGGTGTACGTCATTCAAGAACCAATTAGCAAGTGCAAAGAAAATGACTGCGAACTCTGCTTTTCAGAAAGTAACAAAAAATATGACATCTGCAGCAAAATTATTCACTGAAATGCAATTTAGTCAATCCCATAAGAAACCATCTGGTCGAAGATTTTCTTTGGAGGAAAAGATACTGTCACTATCTTTGTTCAAACAAAGTCCAAAGTGCTATTCTTTTTTAACTCACTGTTTCACATTGCCATCCAAAAAGACTCTAAAAGGATTATTGGCTCAGGTAAAATTAGGACCAGGCATAAATGAAAAAGTTTTCGAAAAATTGAAAAAAGCAGTTACAGGTTTGAGCATTGAAGACCGTCTCTGCACTATTATATTTGACGAGATGTCATTAAATCCGCAAATACATTATGATATAGCAAATGACAAATTAAAAGGATTTGTGAGCACAGAAACCAGTAATCAAAACCTTATAGCTGACCATGTGTTGGTTTTTATGATAAAAGGGATTAAGGTCAACTTTAAACAACCAGTGGCTTACTACTTTACCAACAGTCTTAACAGACATCAATTAAAAAATATTATTTATCAAGTAGTCAAGAAAGTACAAGCCACTGGTTTAATTATCTTGTGTTCGGTCTGTGACCAAAGTTCGGTTAATGTAGGAGCAATATCTGATCTAGTTCAAGAAACGAAGCAAAGAATACTAAGACAGGGAAATGAGTGGCGACACGATTTTTATGAAATCAACAATTGCAAAATCATACCACTGTACGATGTTCCTCACTTGTTAAAAGGAGTTCGTAACAATTTAATTTCGAAAGATTTAATTTATAATGATGTAGACGATGCTGATAAAGAAAAAAATATTAAATGGCAATATTTTCAACAAATATATGAAGCAGATAAAACATTTGGGGAACTTCGTCTATTGAATAAAATAACGGAGGAACACATAAATCCTCAAAAAATAAAAAAAATGCGTGTCAAAACAGCTGCACAAATTTTTAGTCATAGTGTTGCTGTTGTGACTGAACATTTGACGGCCAGGGGAATCGTCAATGATCAGTGTCGCCATTTAATCCCATTTGTGTTATTATTAGATAAATTGTTTGACTCTCTTAACAGCAACACATTTTATATACCTAATGGTAAAATTTATAAAAGTTGTGTACGAAAATCATCACTCACCTCATCACCAGCTCTGGATCAAAGCTAAAAAGTTATTTAAGTCAATTAAATTTATTTCCCCTAAAAAAACTGGTGGAAAAATTAGCTTAGTAATGTGCACTGTTCCATCAACTGTTAATTTTATTAAAACCATTGAAGGTTTTGAAGTTTTGTGGAACATTTTATCTAAGAAATATAATTTTGATTGCATGATGACACGACACTTTAATCAGGACCCTGTGGAAAATTTCTTCGGCAATATCCGTAGTTATGGGGCGAGAAATAACTCTCCAAATGTTGTAGCATTTGAAGGTGCATATAAAGCACTTTTGCTAAATAATTTTAATTCGCCCCACTCCATCGGCTCTAACTGCGAGCAAGATGATAATAACTGTTTGCATTCAATAGATTTCTTTTTAACCGAAAAGCAGCATGTTGATCGTAATGAGGATATTTCCGAAGATAATTTTGTAATAAATGAAGAATTGTTAATGGATAGGGTAGTGGTAAAAGATATGGGTCAAAGAAATTATGTTTGTGGTTGGGTGATATTCAAATGTTTAAAAAATATTGTAAAAGGTTGTGTCACATGCAAGGCGAAATTGATTTGTATTGACAATAATAATAATGATTTTATAAAATTAAGAGAATATAATAAAACTAAGAAGTGGCAAACATACCCGTCTGAAGAGGCAGTCAATTTCTTTTATGAAATTCAGATGAACACTGTCTCTTTTTTAAAAAGTAATGTTCCACAAAGCGGAATCAAATCAAAAATCATGTGGATAACTGACACCTTGGTAACATCTCCTTTCAATTGTGTAAAACACAAAGAAGAATTAAAATATTATTTTGTTAAAACAACCGTTAATGTGTTGGTTAACAGTTGGTGTCGCGAAGTGAACCGAATTTTGTCAGGGAAAGTGTCGTATGATGGGGATGATGAAATAAAAATAGCAGCTCAAAATTATTATGTGAAACATAAAAAATTCAAGACAAAAAAATTGTAAATGGCTATCTATCTCTTCATGGATTCAGCTTTAATTTAATTTTGAGAAATAGATTGTCACTAAAATTTCATTCTTATGAATAACAGAATTAAAATCCTACCACTATGATAACCATTTACAATAGTTTTACAGATCTATCCTCGAATACTTATAGTACCTGATGTATTGTATTATTTTTTTAGTAAGTACACGTTTTAGTTGTCTTTTCAATAAATAAATAAAAGTATAAACATGTTTTTCATTTGTTTATGTGTAATTATATTAGGCGAAGTAATGATTTTGTAAAGTTTCAGACAAAATCAATACTCTTTACGCCTATTATAATGCAATTAAAAAAAATATTGAAATTAATAACAGTACAAGCACGCGCACGATGAGTTGAGACCTGACAGTATGCATAAAACTACTTATTTGTATTATACTATATTGTAAATATACATTGTCCTATGTTATTAAATATACTAATTTTAATTATATAGGATAATTTACATTTATAATATAGAATAATACAATTAAGTATTTTTTTGCATTCTTTCAGGTCTCAATTTATCGTGCGCGTGTTAGTACGTACATCTAATATATTATATAGTGTAGGTATGTATATTAATCAGGCGGTTTTAGTTTATGTACATGATAATAGATGTCGCTACTCTTCAAATTAAGTTATCAAAAATACCAGCAAGAGGGCTCTCTTTACTCCAAACCATCGTCACTATCCTCGAGCAGTGTTGCCAACTCGGATTTTGAAAAAGACGTAGGCCCGATGAGAAAATTACGTAGAATTGGTAAATTTTGCATATGAAAAGTAAGTAGATCTACGTACTTTTTTCTGAGTGAAATGAAGAAGTTATTTGAAACCGAAAAAAACGAGTATTTTGTTATACAATTTGTTTAAGAACGGGAGATAGAACAAAGAGTTCTTGGAGAAGTCGCTGCATTGGAAGCATTTACCATGCTGTGGTAAACATTTACCATCAGACACAGACACTGGTGGGTGCCGATTCTGGACGGTTCTCTAAATTTAAAACTTAATTTAACATCAGTCTCTCCTTTTCATTCTGTATAGAGAATGACAAGGATAAACTGTTGTTAAATGGGCTAGTTGACACTTTTTGGAATTATGTTTTAAATTCTTAATAATTGTTCTATTAGACAGAAAAAATTTTTTTTTTTACCTAGAAGACATACGAAAATGCTCTTTAGACTTATCTATTCTATGACGTCAAAACATTTGTAAACAAACACTCGCAAGCACGTAGGAAATAAACAGCTAAGTTAATATTATAAAACCATGATTTCTAATAGATCACATGAAAAATATAGTAGTTATCATGATACACTTGGTAAAAGACTCTGGAAAAGTTGTGGTTTAAATTGCCAAGAGAAAAAACATACTTACACATGAACATATGCTTAAAACTTGCTAAATCCTGTAACTTTATCGAGTGAAAGTCTTTTCTTTTTGCAAAGATCAATTCGATGTGAGTAGGTACTCATAGATAGTAGTAAAAGTTTAAAAATACAATTTTTAAGGTTATGAATGTACCTACTAAGTCAAAGAGTTCTGTCGTTTCTGCTTTCACAAATCCTGCGTCCAGCATTAATTTAGTCAACAAAACCAATAACGGGAACCTTTTCTACAAGATACAAGAGTGTTTAGATACATCTTTATAAGAAATAAACATTTGTATATTTTTTAAGTAAAGTAACGGAAAATATTCTTCTTTATTGTAGTGAATTAAGTTATTTTACAAATTTGAAAAAAAATAAGAAAATACGTAGATTCTGGGACTGAAGTTAGTAGGTTTCCAGAAAAGGCCTAAAATACGTAGATCTACGTAAAAAGACGTAGAGTTGGCAACACTGTCCTCGAGTATAGTATTTAGGGCCTCCTCCAAACCACGTTATTGGTTAGTATAACATCGTTTGCGGTTCGTCTTGATAATCTGCGAAAAGTAATATACTTGTAGCCGTTGTTCCCAAATTGGTACACCAATCTTTTACATGTAATAATGACTTATGTTTATAGTTATCGGAACTGGAAATCGGTTTATATGCTTGGTTATTTATTGTTTATAGGGATATATAACTATTTATATGGAAATCTGTATTGCATATAATAATAAAAATTACAAGCAGGTACTTATTACCTCCACGAGTCCCTTGATATCGATTTTTTATTGAATTTTATCCAAAAACAATACACTTTTATGAAATAGATGAATATTATATTTATTCAGGATACTTTTGACTATTCATTAATATAAAAATACATAAACCAACTTCAATATATTTTTTAACTACCCTCATTAATTAAGTGTACCGTAATTGGCACAGTGGTCAAGAATGGGTTAATATTTATTTATACAGGGTGAAATTGAATGTTTCTATGAAACTTCGTGAGATAGTTGGGTTACGTGTATAGAGTATGCATGATTTTTTCGGATTTTTTAAAATAAAATTTTTCGTTTTTTAATTTTTTATTTGGTTATTTTTTTGTCATTTCTTCCTTATGAGTAATTATTCATTTTAAACACGTCTACATAGAAGTTATAAAGCAACTTAAAATAAGCACTACTAAAAAAACGGAAACTTAATGAATGCCTTCATTATGCCTCCAGTCGAGATCAGTGCCGGTCGGGGCGACGACCGCGGCCGCCTGTGTAGGTACCTACTACACGCACAGATGACTCGGCACTTACCTACTCTCCGCTTTGATCCACACTATTTAAAAACATTGCAATAAAATAGTCTTAAATGCTATATTATAATTATTTATTCACTGATACACAATACCTTTGAATATTGTTTCATAAAGCACAGGTAATTAATCAATAAAATAAATCTTCTGTTAGAGCAATTAAAAATCCTATAAAGTTAATATGACTGTCACGATTTTAAATCGGTAAAGCCTGTCTGTTAGTGTAAGAACTTCTTTTTTATTGTTAATGTTAGTTACCTCGTTTAATTAAAACTTAAGCACAAACGGCTTATTAAATTGGGAAAAATCATACAGAGCAAATCGGTATAACTTACGAGCTTAGTGAAGGAAGGAACTCTTCGTGTCTGATTTGCCCACGTCATGAAATTCCCAACACATTTAATCACAGCCACAGTCACACACACACACACGTAATAATATGTTGTTTTGCGGCAAGCACGGGCGGGCGGCCGCGCCCCCTCGCTGGCAACTAGCGCCGGTTGCGGCGTCTTTGATGATGTGAATTCCGCCCACCTCCCCTCTATCCCGCACGCGGTGGTTTGCTTTGATTGCATGCAAAACGCAGTCGCAAGTATATCAATCGCGCGTGCGCATTTTTTGACTTAGTGACATACACTGTGATAATTTCATTATGCCTCGGTATACGAACCAAGAATACCTAGAGATGGTGTACTGCTATCGCGAGTGTGACGAAGTAGATTTGGTTTACGAATGAGTCCCCAAACCATAGAAGTTGCATTTTGTGCAGTGAGTAGTGATAGGGACACTTTAAAAAAGGTGAAAAGACACGTCCGCAAACATGCCTACCTTTGTTTGCAGCAAAATGGTGGTTTAGAGCAACAATTTTGCAGATAATAATTTAAGTCTCTTTTTATTGCTAGTGTAAATACTTTTTGATTAGAAACATCTAATTGTGTACTACCAGTGTGATTGATTTGATAAAAAGTTCTAGTGAAAAAAATTAATATGTTCCTCGTTCCTCGTTGTACCTACCTACATCGCCGGTCGCGTAAGTACTTTTGAATACCGGGTTATAAATTTCATTCTGACCCAAGTATTGAACTGCAATAAGTATTTCTTTTTGTTTAACATTTGCCTATTTCCAATCGTGACAAAATTATTATTAACTTTTAAAGTTTTTCTCTGCTTAAGAGAAGATGACATTTGTGCTTATTATTTCAATTTCAATAAAGGCATCTAAGACGATTTTATTGTATTGTGTGGAATCAAACGAGTCAGCTGAGCTCTGTGTAGAGGTACCTACTCACTCAACGGCTGGCGGGCGCAAAAAAATCCGAAAAAAAACAGGCATACTCTATACACATAACCCAACAATCTCACGAAGTTTCATAGAAACATTCAATTTCACCCTATATACAGTAAAAGCTCCTTGTTCACGCTTCCTTTGTTCGCGTTTTCACTATTCGAGGACCGACCGTATTCCTATATTCGCGTCTAAAAATTTCTGTATACGCGAATCCTATCGAAAAAAAAGGATTTGGTAGGTACTCTTTGTTAACGCGTCGGCATCGTCAGGTGGAGTAATTATAAAAGTAAATAAAATAGACCTTGAAAAAATTTCACGCGGACCAGGCAGCAGGCGGGACTCGAACCCGCACCCTTCGCCATCCGGCGAATGCACTGACCATTACGTTACCGCGGCCCGCGGCATCTTTAATTGTCAGTATAAAAGTACTATCATTTATGTGGTAGTATACAATATTTATTTATTGCGCTATCGTACACAAACATGACAATTTATATTACATTATGAAGTTTATCTCTCAGAATTTCTCATTTGAGCGCACCTAGCGACATCTTTTGTAAAAAAAATGCATTTTCTTCGCAATAAAGCTGCCACCTGGACTTCCTAGATACAGACTTATTATTATAATACGATAAAATAAAATATTACTATGATTCGTCCAATATATTGAAAGTCAACAACCTTTCCAATTTTATTGTTTTCGTCTTACGAATTTTCGATTGTCAGATGTCCGGATGCGATCAGGCCACGTGTCATGACGCGAGTTTAACCGTTTTTACCCATTACAAAAAAAGTGTACAACGCCGCTAAAGAAGTACAACATCAACTTACATGAATCACAAGCGCACCTAGCGACATTTATTGTAAAAAAAATGTATTTTCTTCGCAATAATGCTGCCACCCCTGGACGTCCTAGATAGAGACTTATTATTATAATAGGTACGATAAAATAAAATATTACTATGATTCGTCCAATATACTGAAAGGCAAAGGCAGGACACGTGGCCTGTGATGCGATCAGCCCACGTGTCATGACGCAAGTTTAACATTTTTTACCAATACAAAAAAAAGTGTACAACGCCGCTAAAGAAGTTTTCACTTCAAAAATATAGAAAACATAAAATAGACCTTAATATATGTCAGCCTACTGCTGTCAAATGCTATCACCGGTACTTATGATGGTTCGCCTTCTCGAACGCACACGCACCGAACAAACCTAGACAAGAAATTTTGGACACAAACACCAGATATTGGCTAAATCCTGAGGGAGCCATCACTGAAGAAATCTGATCTAATCTTCTCCTATCTCTAATATGAGACGACTTCGCCGCGGTCGCTGTTTTCAGTTAATTTTGATTGATGCAAGTAACATTTAATCTTTATTTCATCAAAATTAGTGTACTCTATCAAAAGTGCGCAGACGTACGAAAATGTGATTTTTATAGAAAATTTCACTATCGGTAATAATAAAAGATAGCGCTGATTTATTTCTACATTGCGATAGGTTTACAAAGTTTAGTGTGTGGGTTTTTTGTTCCATTACTTTCAAAAACCTGTTATCGCAACAGGTTTTTGAAGTAGTAGAAATAAATCAGTGTCATTTATTATCACCACCGATACACGGACCGATAGTTAAATTTTCTATGAAATCATTGTACGTCTGCGTAGCGTGGCTTTATAGAGTAAGATCCCAGGACTTTTTAATACAGATTCATTAAAGTTATCTTATAAATAATGTAAAGGAAGCCTTTTACATTATTTAAATAATTTCTTATTATCTAATTATCAAAATTATTGAAAATAAGTAAGGTGTTTCTTGCTTTCGACATTAAAGTGTCTTGTAATAAAAACTGCTGACGGAATGTGTGTGGCAGTATCAATTTTAAATTGTTTATTATATTCTCTACAGCATACGTAAGAATCAGTTCAGTAAAGTGAGTAAAATTTTTACGTGCCTGTGCCACCTGATACCTGAAAATTGGCCCACAGAACAAGTTATATACGTTCATTCTGGCATGATTCTCTAAACATAAAACTAAATTTAAGATCAGTCTCTTCTGTTCATTCTGTATAGAGAATGACAAGGATGCACTGTTGTCAAATTTAACACGATTGGTGTCGACACTGGCATGATTTTCTAAACTTAAAACTAAATTTAACATCGGTCTCTCCTTTTCTTTCTTATACATTGACGTTGACGTTAGTGTGGCCGATGGGCATCGATAGGCATCGATGGGGCCAGATAAGGCGACCTGACGGACTTAACCATGAAGTAAATCACACTATAATATTATAAAGGCAAAAGTTTGTGAGTGTGTATGTTTGTTACTTCTTCACGTCTAAACGGCTGGAGCTATTTTAATAAAATTTGATATGGAGTTAGTTGACACCCTGGATTAACACATAGGCTACGTTTTAAATAAAATATCCCTAATAAACCGCGGGTAACACCGCACAGGTGGAGGGACAATGGACGAATTAGGACCATCGCAGTTGCTTAGCAACATTATTGTAAACATAGTGAACCCATCTGTGAACTAAAGGAATCTGTCAGACTAGTAAGTTGATTTCCACTGGATTTTTAGATTATTGAACATTAATACCTACATAATGTAAGTAGTATTCTCATATTGTGGAACGATATGTTGTCCATCCCCGAACTAGCTACGCAGATTACCGAAAAAACGTTATCATTATTGAATGAAGGCAATTCTCATACTCTTATTATTGTAGGGAGCCCGTCAGTGGTAAGCTACCTCCTCATACTAATCTGTAAGTAGTAAAAGTTCAATAATGAGAAGGTACATAATTAACCTTTTTTGCAGGGAAAAACGACTATGTTATACTCGTTTCTTGACAAAACTGATCCTCCTCGAGAAACTTTAGTTTTAGAATATTCTTTTGGTAGAAAAACTAACCAGAAACAAGGACTCGAAAAAACAATTTGCCATATTTGGGAGTATGGTGGAAAACTTGATATTATAAAGAAAATATTACCATCCATACCGTTAAAGGGAAAATGTTACTACTGTTTAATGATCGATATAAGCAAGATCAAAAATGTATGGAATACTATAGACACCTGCATCACTGCTATGAATGAAACTTACACTGACTCGAGTTTACCTGAATTAGTAATAATATGTGGAAAATATGACCTCTTCAAGAATTACGGTATGTATGAGTAACAATGTTAATTAGGTACAGACATCTATTTACACATCAAAATAAAAAAAAATGTGTGCGTGTACTAGTGTACACACGTAAGAAGTGAAACTTCTTTATGGCCTTATTTTTCGAAAAATGATCTACATGCAACTTTCCAGAAATACATAGGTTAAATAAAGTTAAATTAGATAAAGTTTAAACAAAAGGATTTTATTATCATAGACATGAATACAAATTACTGCCTATGAAACTGTTATGATTACACGGCTCAGTAATCTAAGGCACATGTTCCACCTCCGACGATGAACGATAAGTGAGTAGAAACTAGAAACGAATTGGCAGTCCTGAGTTAAAATGCACGCGCACGGCTTTTGACAGCCAAGCCAGCTTAACCGAGCGAGTATAGCTGAGCGAGTATCGTTGAGCGAGAATCGCTGATCGAGTATCGCTGGGCGAGTATCGCTGAGCGAGTATCGCTGAGCGAGTATCGCTGAGCGAGTACCGCTAAGCGAGTATCGCTGAGCGAGTATCGCTGAGCGAGTATCGCTGAGCGAGTATCGCTGAGCGAGTATCGCTATGCGAGTTTGGCTGAGCTAGTCTTATCTTTAATAACTATTGTCACTCAGCTACAAACGAGTAGAGAGAGTTCTCGCCGGCGACAGTGTGATCATTCAGCTATCAACTATTAATATAAATGAGGTAAATAGTGCTCTTTTAAAAAAAAGATGGCGCGTAACCAAAAAACGTGACGCGTAACCGAAAAAATGTGACGGTAAATTTTTTTCCAACGCCGATAAAGAAGTTTCACTTCAATAAAATAAAATAACAATAGATGATTGTGATGCGAGAACAAAATTTTGTTTGATGGGCGGTGCCATGCCCACCGCCACCGAATCCAAATGTTGTTAATTTTATTTTTAAACTACCTAGGTGTGCCCGTGGCTTGGTTCGCGTTGACATCTAAAATGTTTTGATTTTATGATGAGGGTCAGGCCGCCATTTTTTGCTGATTTTGAAAACTGTTTTCTCCGCGGTCAGTATTTTGAAGCGTATTATAGGTATCGGATTTTCGATGAAGGCTTTGGATTAAGCAACAAAGTGACTCAAGTGGACATTATGATTATTTCAAGTCAGATAATAAACAAAAAATATATATTTCGATTGAAATCTGAAAAAAGGTAGTAAAATTACACAAAAACATCTATCCGCCGAGGTAGAGGTGCACTTTAACCATCGTAGTAGCAAAAAGTATGTCAGTTTTTGAGACATAGCTGATACTTTAAGAATACTTATATTAATAGCTATCCGTGCTTTTAATTTAGCAACGTTTATCCTAAGAATTTCCTTGAAAATGATTTCAAATAAGTTTTCGTCAAAAACTGTACTTATACGCCACTTAGTCAACGCCACCGATTCTCCATGTTCTATTAAACTTTAGGAATCGGTGAAGTTCAAATCGGGAAGTGGCAACACTGAGTTTCTGTAATCTGCGGTCAGCGGCTTGACGAGCGGCTATATTTTTACAGTTGACATGTGAACGTCTGGTGTAGTTTGTGTACACAATTTTTTCAAGGTAAGATTTTTGTGCATTGAAAATTAAGTTTGATTGTTACACGAAAAACAAATAGTGCATCATGTTAGTAGAAGTGACAGCCATGTTTGGAGCTATAATGCAGCTCAAATCATACTTTATTTACAGCGATATAAGTGGTTTTCTCAACACGACGATAGCGTAGAAGTAGAAATACGCCACCATTTTGGTACTTCAACGCCAACGGTAGCGTAGATATTCGTCACCTCCTCTACGCCACCAAATAAAGGTAGGTATCCACTTGTTTTTATTATACTAACTTTTTACCTGACTGCCGAAGAAAGGAGGGTAATGTTTTTCGAGAGTGTATGTATGTATACTAACTAAACCCATTCGTGTAATTTCAGCTTGTATTTCGTAGGCTGCAAGGCATAGATCACGGTAACATAATGGTCAGTGCATCTGCCCGGATAGCGGAGGGTGCAGTTTCGAGTCCCGTCTGCTGCCTGGACCGCGTGGATTTTTTTTTAGTAAAAATTTTCTTTAGATTTAAAATCCGCTGCTGTCCACAGATTTTTTGTGTAATTTTACTACCTTTTTTCAGATTTCAATCGAAATATATTTTTTGTTTATTATCTGACTTGAAATAATCATAATGTCCACTTGAGTCACTTTGTTGCTTAATCCAAAGCCTTCATCGAAAATCCGATACCTATAATACTTTTTAAAATACTGACCGCGGAGAAAACAGTTTTCAAAATCAGCAAAAAATGGCGGCCTGACCCTTACACAACATAATTTAATCTTAATATTTTGGTATGTGTATGCCAACCTTAACATTTATTCATCACTATTATACGCTACTCAACGTCACCGACGCGTAGAAGTTTCTACGCCATCAACACAATACTTCTGCGCCATATCAGCAAAAAATGGCGGCCTGACCCATGAATTGATTTTTCTGATGAAGTGTGCGCTCGCAAATCTATATTCTAATATCAACGATAATAAATACTTACCCGATATTAAATAGTTGTTGGCTCACATTACTTCTTTGAAAATGATATTAATTAAGAACCATTGGGGTCGGGCGATGAGGGCACGGGGTACCGGTAGGATACGGAAGATGAAGGTTAACGAAAAAGTCACATAGAAACGATGTTTATTCTCACTACCCATTTCCGTCATAAAAATCATGGTCATGATGCGATCACCATCGCCTTGAACGATCCGTCATACGGCTATAAACTGTTTTGCCTGAATTAAAAAAATCTTAACGATATATGAATATCGTTCCTGAACATCGTCGGCCGCAATAACCTAACCTTACTTCGTCTGTTTACTCGGGAGCTCTCACCCACAGGTGTCCCCGAACGGGATCACTCTACTCCCCAAGTGACTCTGACCCCAGGGAACGCCTACCTTGAAGTGATACCGATTCCCGATACCCCACCCCCACCCTTAGGTGCTCCGGCCTCCCCGGAAGGCATGGCGGACTTGTTTGCGGACGATATTAATGTCGTCTGCAGCGCCGCCATGCCGAGGGCGCGGGCCGGCTCACGGAGAAGGGGGCAGGTATACTGGTGGACACAGGAGCTCACAAACCTGTGTACCGCCAGTATGGGGGCCAGGCGCGCCCACCTACGGTGCCTTAGGCGCGCCTGGAGAACGTCCGGCGAAGAGGAAGCCCTCCGCCGGGCGTACAACCAGGCCCACAAGGCCCTGCGGATTGCCATACGCAGGGCCAAGGTCGCTGCCTAGGATGAATTCTTGGCCATCCTAGACAGCGACCCCTGGGGGAAGCTGTACAGGTAGGTGAGGGGGAAATTCGCTTCGGCGGCGCCCTCCACGTCCTGTATGGAGCCGAAGTGGCTGCGAATGGTGCTGGGGACATTATTTCCCAACCCCGGACCCATTGAACCCCCAAGGTTGCCCTCCAGTTCTGCTCCGGAGGCGTGGGCCGCTGGTCCCCCCGTGTCGGATGCAGAGTGCGACATGGTGAGGGACCGGCTCCGGAGCCGTAACAAGGCTCCGGGGCCGGACGGGGCCCCATCCAAGGTGATGGCGATCGCCTTGGGCCCCCAGGGGGAGCGATTCCACGCGGTGCTGGACATGTGCATCGCGACGGGTCGCTTTCCCATGCGCTGGAGCCACTCTCCAGCTCCAGGCGGCTCTGCCTGCTCCGTAAGGAGGGCCGCCCGGCGGACTCTCAAGCGAGCTATCGGCCGGTGGTGTTGCTCTATGAGACCGAGAAGGCTTCCGAGAAGATTCTCGCCTCCCGGATCATCGAGCACATTGAGGGCGAGGGGCCGGGCCTGGCTGCCTGCCAGTACAGCTTCCGCAATGACCGGTCCACGACTGACGCGGTGGGTCACCTCAAAAGGTGGACTTAGGTGGCCACAGCACGGGGGGAGGTGGAGGTCGCGGTGTCCTTGGACATCGCGAACGCATTTAACACAATCCCCACGAGTGTATAGAGGTACCTGCACCGTGTCGCCCGTCGGGAGGATGATCTCGTAGTCAAAAACAAAATAAGGCATTATTTAATCATTGAAAGTCACCTTTAACGCATACTGTATAAGGTCTTAGTTAAAACACATGCGTCAAAGACTTATGACAGTTCGAAATGGAAGCTCGCAAAATTTTACGACTTATTGTTATATGTGGAAGAATATAGACCTTATTCTTTGTACTTTTACGCGCAATTCTAAATGCGCTGTTAGCAATACAGCGGGTACGGACCGCGAGGAAAAGAGACTGCTATACGGCGACCTGCATTTGAATATCACAAATATTTTATCTTAAATCAGTTTACAGTAAATATTAGAACAAAATTTGCTTCAAATGCGTTAAATTAACAAACACTGATTAGATACCTGTTGAAAAAACGACGGTTAACGTACTATAAGTATTTATTTCGCATTTTTTCACGGAGCTCTGCGGCATCTTGACTTTTGCGACGGTCCGCGCGTGACTGTGAACCAAGAAGAGTGGAGTTGAAGCACTTATTGATTGGGACACATTTTGAGCGCTCGTGGTGTATCTAGGGTATTTAATATCGCTGCTGCAACCTATCCAAGGCATCGAGTAAGTACCTACTTAGCGAAGCCATCCCAGACGTGCGATCAATATTCCACGCAGGACCGCACTTGCGTTTTGTACAACAAGCACAGTTTATCAGGCGTGAAAAAATATCGCACCTGTTCAGGACTCCGAGTTTGCGTGAAGCTGTTTTGATCACGGTTTCGATCAAGTCCTTTGGATTCAGGTCTGAGCGAACTTCCATACCGAGAATGGTGATGTTGCTCTGTAGTCTGTAGGGAAGGAATGGGGACAGGGTTGCCAGTCTTAGAATTTTTTACCTTGTACTTAAGCAGCTAAAAATCTCGTATTTTAGCTTTCGAACCTCGTACATTATTTTTTTTAATTCCTTATTTTAAAGGGTTTTGTCTTTAATAGACCATGTCACCCATAT